AAGAATACAAGTAGTAGTTGTTGTATTATCTGTGATAGTCTCACATATGTGTGTTGTATTATCTGTGATAGTCTCACATGTATGTTTTATTATCTGTGATAGTCTCACATGTGTGTTGTATTATCTGTGATAGTCTCACATGTGTGTTGTATTATCTGTGATAGTCTCACATGTGTGTTGTATTATCTGTGATAGTCTCACATGTGTGTTGTATTATCTGTGATAGTCTCACATGTGTGTTGTATTATCTGTGATAGTCTCACATGTGTGTTGCATTATCTGTGATAGTCTCACATGTGTGTTGTATTATCTGTGATAGTCTCACATGTGTGTTGTATTATCTGTGATAGTCTCACATGTGTGTTGTATTATCTGTGATAGTCTCACATGTGTGTTGTATTATCTGTGATAGTCTCACATGTGTGTTGTATTATCTGTAATAGTCTCACACGTGTGTTGTATTATCTGTGATAGTCTCACATATGTGTGTTGTATTATCTGTGATAGTCTCACATATGTGCGTTGTATTATCTGTGATAGTCTCACATATGTGCGTTGTATTATCTGTGATAGTCTCACATATGTGTGTTGTATGTCCTTCCTATCTCAGGGGGATTCCGGTCAGGAGACATCGGATGGATCCCATGCCACTAACACGACGTCAGACGAGGTGAGTACATCGACATGATCAGTTTTTGGAAACGTATTTTGATTGTCACTTACAACCTACAAACGTTGTGTACGTGTTACAATATCCTCACAAGTATACAACTTTATCAACACACACTCACTCACTGATGTACGTGATCGTCGTTTGGGTTGTATACTTCAGGAAGGAACTGATAGCGCTAGGTCACGTCGACTTATCTTCAAGGACGAATCCAGTCTGTGGCCAAAGGGCATCGTTCCGTACATCTTCATGGATGACCTAGGTAGGAACAGCACAACAATGACATCACGAGTAATATTATCGGCAGAAACTCAGACCATGGCCCTTCAATACTTCCACTGATGCATGTACACCCTACATACAACGGCTCTTTCCGTTTCCACGTTACAATATAAATAACAACGTATATTTTGTAGTCATATGTGTTATCACTTGGTTACATTTGAACATAAAGCAATATCCTCTCAGAGATAAGTTTACAGTTATTGATAATGGAGAGTCTGTTAGTGATTTATCTGAAACATTTACTTTCCCTTTACTTACAATGTTTTAGACGTTTAACATGTCCTTCCATCTACATATATACTTTTGTAAAACTCGAGTCGAAGTTAATTTGATCAAGAATTTTATTGAAACAAATTCTTGAAAAAAGTCCATAAGAAATTAAAAAAAACAGAACAATATTCCATTGAAGTAAGTATGTAATCGTGCTTCACGCCTGTACGGTGTTGTTCCTCGTATACGTTATTGTCGATGCCAACATCTCAACACAGGGAAAAGTACCGTCTTCTGTATTCAATACCCACCTCGGATACCCTCCTCACACCATACACGTGCCATACCCCCGATCTTGTGCAGGGGAGGGACTCTTTGTTTACGACTTCTGGGACATTCACAGCTGGAACTGAGCCAAGTATACAGTTCTCATATATAGTTCTCTGGTGTACGTTGAATTGACGTACAACTGCAAAGTCGGGAGCTCAAGCTTCTTGACGTTCCAGAAGTTGCGATACTATCAACATACGTATGAGATATTGTTGACTGACGTTGCTGTCCAAGCTAACCACATACACTATCATAAATATGAACAAGCCAGGTTGCGCCAGTGCGAGTTATCTAAAGGAATTTTATTTCTCTTTAATAGCCTCTGGAACAACCTGCCCACTCACATCAACAATGCTGAGTCTTTGGACAAATTTAATTCGTCACTTAAAGTCACTACACATGATCATCACAATGCAACCTGCACGTGCATTTCCTTTCCTGGACAGCTTCCTGCAGTATTATGAAAATATACCGTGTGAAACCTTCAACGTTTGTGTTTTGTTAAAGACGACGACGCCCGCTATGAGATCATCGTCACCCAGCAGCGAATCGAGAAGTACACCTGCATCCGGTTTGTACCATGGGTCAAGAACGTTACCATGGCAACCTACGACCTGTCCCACGAGGGTCATCTGAACTACGTCAATGACCCCGGGTACGACATCTACAACGTTGTTATATTTGTTATCTCACAAATTTAATCTAAACTAAAATTATGCTGCATGTTCAGACAATATTTTGTATTAATCCCACATCAATCTTGGAAGTTACTGCTTGGGAATTCTATTTTACATTTAGTTTCTCCTATATACATATTTACAGAGGAAAAACAACACATATTTTCGTAATATATGCTAAAAATGAACGCATAGGCTTTCGTCATTTCCCGAAACTACGGAAATCTAGACTTGCCACAAATCCTAGACTCTGCATTGGGATATATTGTTTCCGTGTCTGTATGACAGACTACTGTTTAGGCGTCACACAGGCTTAAACATTGTACCCCAGTGTTTAAATATCGTGGTACCACAGTGGTCAGGGAATGACCTATTTGTGTGTGTAACCCCTCTATTGTGGGCGTAAAATACATCATCAGCATCAAGTTATAGAAGGGAACCAGTCATATTATTGAAGATCGGCAAGGAATATGTACATTATCATATGATGTACGTTAAGTTCAAGACATTCTGATCAGGACATAGTTTTCTTCGGTTTGGTCAGTTTTCAGTTTACTGAAATAGTTCTTTTCCGGTAACTGTCTGCTTCATTAAAATAAATAGAACGAGCAAACTACAAAAAATGTAGCAAAACCTCACATTTAATCAAATTTAATGCATATTGGTTATGGTCGCCACAGACCAGGTTAAGAACTCGAAGAACCATAGCTTCAAGAACCAGCTACACACACTTTATTCTGTCTTCAAGCTGACGAGTGTATTTTTCAACCAAACATACCGTCATTGTGCCAGATTTCATTTTGCATTTTGTGCTTACATTTTTGCTTGCACATCAGCAAATCATTAAATACAGTTGCGTTTCTCTATGACGTTAATGCCGTTTTCAATGATTCTCTGTTACAGGTGTTGGTCTAATGTCGGGTTCGGGCCCAGCGAGGGTGGCAGGAACATCGCATGCTGCTCCAGGGTACTCTACACCGTTATAACAGTTCCACTTGTAGAGTCAGTGTTAGGTCCAAGCATGGTCGTGCAGGACAACTCATGGAGCGGGTGGTCGACTTCATCGTGCCCCTGTGGTGTTCATAAGTTCCTTAAAACAGATTTCTATTTTCATGATTCCGCCTTTATAGTATTTAGTGCTTTTAGCACACTTTATGTTTCAAATCAAGTATTGGGGCAGACGACGTATAGTGTGACGTATGGGCCCCATGACGTCACTGACCCGCTCTTCATTCATCGAGAAGCAGGGGGCGTGGTCAAAGAGATCATAGGTTACACATGATACATTTTACGTTTATATACCTTTGTAACCTGTAAACGAAATATTTATTTACAAATACTCACTCCCACCCCTGTCAGCTTCGAGACGGGAGAATCAAAGATATAGTGCCACTGACCTTGTCTCCCTGACAGTATTGAACTTTAACACGTAGAACACATTGTAAATTGTGGCATTAGCAGCAGTATCGTTCAATCATCATCATCACTATTAAATAAAAATATCAGGAATAAGTTTCTGAAGTAATTTTATATATTGCTCATATGTAGTCCGTTGAATAGGTCATAGACATTTTGTTCGAGAAATTCTAAAGAATCACAATAAGCATAAAATACAATATCACAGGTACTGTGTCTTTGCTTTGAGTAAGACAGTGAATAAGAGGGTTGCTTTAACGCCTCTCTAAACAGTAGTTCAGTTGTAACCCAGCGTGTCTGTTTGACGTGTGAGGAAATCCCGAAGTGACGCATTTCAGATGCAAGAGCAATATACACGTTCTGTATTCAGTGTACACACCTCTCTGTACTTCAAGCACTACTGCACACATGAGGTGGGACACTCTCTGGGATTTCCTCACGAACACATCAGCCCAAACCGAGGTGGATACGTCCGTCCTAATTTCCAAAACGTTGATTCTGGTAAGTAATTGTTTTGATAGTGTGAATAAAGTGTATAGAGTATTTACACAAGACAGAAAGCATGTTGCAAATCTGGGTTTTACGTTTAGTTTCAATGAATGAATACCAGCTGGATGTCAGGATGGTCAAATTCATGCCAAACAATTGCAAATTAAAAGTTACTTAGTTCACTGTGCAATGCACCGGAAACCAACATGAAACTATATTTTCTGGTTTCATGTTGGTTTCCATTTCATGAAACCTTCAACTGCAAATTCCAGGAATGGAAACCAACAAGAAACCTATAACCTTAGTTTCTTGTTGGTTTCCATTTACTGAAATGCAAAAATCAAAGAATCTAAAATGGAATCTAGTTGGAAACTCAGTTACTCAGTTTCAGTGAATGGAAACCAACTGGGTTCCGCATTTACCCAGTATACGGATGGTTTCCAGATTTCAGGAAACCAAGTCATTTTTGTAGTGAATCGTCGTATTATTTAATCATATACATTAACATTAGTGAATGATTTCACCGCAAACCTCACACAGACTCCTCGGTATATGGTTCTGGCGAGTTCGCTGTACAACTTCGGTAAAACATTCCCCTCTGTCGATAGGATTGTGTTCGACTACGTTTGACAGTAATAATAATAGTATGTTAAAGATAATTATGCGTGTCTACACATTCTGTTAGTACACACATGAGATATACGACATGTGTGGTACACCATCAAGTTGTTTGAACTCCTTCTACCCGCCGAGAGTTATTGTTCTGGGAGATTACTTCCGGACTGCGTTGAGTATGTTATCCTGAGTGCTACGTATCAAGATGATAATGTTGTACACGGCTCTTGATTTGTTTTGAGTGTTTGTTTGTGTTTGTGTGTTCACAGCAAACTGGCCAATATACATTAAAAAAAGTCCCAGCGAGTTTGAAGACCTGAGGTTTGACATGACCAGCCACATGTTCTACAGCTCCACAGTGAGTATACACTGCTCCTAACCGCCTCCGTGGTGTAGTGGTTTGATCGTCCGCTCGGAGAGCGGAAGGTCGTGGGTTCGATCCCCGACCGCGTCATAACAAAAGACGTTAAAATATGGTACTTGTTGGTCCCTGCCTGGCGCTCGGCATTAATGGGTGCAACAAGGACTGGTCGGCTCGGAGTCAGTATAATGTGTCTGAGTATGGTATTCATGCTTCACTGCGGCTTGGTATCTCAGTGAGCTAGCACTATAAAACCAGGTTAAGTCTGGGCTAGTACAAGCAGCCGCACATACACATACACACGCATGCACGTCGTCATATGAGCGAAATATTCTCAAGCACGACGTTAAACCCAATTTCACCTCACCTCATACACTGCTCCTTTCTTTAAGGCTTCTATCCAAAAAAACAGGGACACAAGTGTCTGATCCCGTAACACAAGACGACTACCTATAACCCATTCAGGGACATAGTTCAGTGATCCCGTAACACAATACTGCTACCATAAGGGACATAGTTCTGTGATCCAGTAACACAAGACGACTACCTTTAACCCATTCAGGGACATAGTTCTGTGATCCCGTAACACAAGACTGCTACCTTTAACCCAATCAGGGACATAGTTTTGTGATCCCGTAACACAAGACTGCTACCTTTAACCCAATCAGGGACATAGTTCTGTGATCCAGTAACACAAGACTGCTACCTTTAACCCAATCAGGGACATAGTTCTGTGATTCCGTAACACAAGACTGCTACCTTTAACCCAATCAGGGACATAGTTCTGTGATCCCGTAACACAAGACTGCTACCTTTAAGGACATAGGTATGTGATCTTGTAACACAATTTGACTTCCTTTAACCCATTCATGAACATTGTTATGTTTGTGATACTGTAACACAAAGTGGCTTCCGTTAACCCATTCAGGGCCATAGTTCTGTGATCCCGTAACACAAGACTGCTACCTTTAACCCAATCAGGGACATAGTTCTGTGATCCAGTAACACAAGACTGCTACCTTTAACCCAAACAGGGACATAGTTCTGTGATCCCGTAACACAAGACTGCTACCTTTAACCCAATCAGGGACATAGTTCTGTGATCCCGTAACACAAGACTGCTACCTTTAACCCAATCAGGGACATAGTTCTGTGATCCAGTAACACAAGACTGCTACCTTTAACCCATTCAGGGACATAGTTCTGTGATCCCGTAACACAAGACGACTACCTTTAACCCAATCAGGGACATAGTTCTGTGATCCAGTAACACAAGACTGCTACCTTTAACCCAATCAGGGACATAGTTCTGTGATCCGGCAACACAAGACTGCTACCTTTAACCCAATCAGGGACATAGTTCTGTGATCCCGTAACACAAGACTGCTACCTTTAACCCAATCAGGGACATAGTTCTGTGATCCCGTAACACAAGACTGCTACCTTTAAGGACATAGGTATGTGATCTTGTAACACAATTTGACTTCCTTTAACCCATTCATGAACATTGTTATGTTTGTGATACTGTAACACAAAGTGGCTTCCGTTAACCCATTCAGGGCCATAGTTCTGTGATCCATTAACACAAAGTGGCTTCCGTTAACCCATTCAGGGCCATAGTTCTGTGATCCATTAACACAAAGTAGCTTCCGTTAACCCATTCAGGGCCATAGTTCTGTGATCCATTAACACAAAGTAGCTTCCGTTAACCCATTCAGGGCCATAGTTCTGTGATCCATTAACACAAAGTGGCTTCCGTTAACCCATTCAGGGCCATAGTTCTGTGATCCATTAACACAAAGTAGCTTCCGTTAACCCATTCAGGGCCATAGTTCTGTGATCCATTAACACAAAGTAGCTTCCGTTAACCCATTCAGGGCCATAGTTCTGTGATCCATTAACACAAAGTAGCTTCCGTTAACCTATTCAGGGCCATAGTTCTGTGACCCATTAACACAAAGTAGCTTCCGTTAACCCATTCAGGGCCATAGTTCTGTGATCCATTAACACAAAGTAGCTTCCGTTAACCCATTCAGGGCCATAGTTCTGTGATCCATTAACACAAAGTAGCTTCCGTTAACCCATTCAGGGCCATAGTTCTGTGATCCATTAACACAAAGTAGCTTCCGTTAACCCATTCAGGGCCATAGTTCTGTGATCCATTAACACAAAGTAGCTTCCGTTAACCCATTCAGGGCCATAGTTCTGTGATCCATTAACACAAAGTAGCTTCCGTTAACCTATTCAGGGCCATAGTTCTGTGACCCATTAACACAAAGCGGCTTCCTTTAACCCATACAGGGCCATACATATGTGACCCATTAACACTAAGTAGCTTCCTTTAACCCATTCAGGGCCATATTAATGTGATACTGTAATACAAGGCTTCTTCTTGTTTAAGTACAGTTGCACAGATCAGTAATCCCGTATGAAATGGCTGCTTCCCATAACCAATACATGGAGTGGATCCGATTCGTGGTTCCCTGTATTGGTAATAGGTTACATGTTGGCAGATGTTGGTGGTTGTTGTATGACCAGTATTCACACATGCTAAGGATCCAGTCATAATTTGGATGAACTGGGATCCTAGTGTTCTAATCGTCCGTCTTCCTACCGACAACACTGGTTCGAGTCCGTACACAATACCATGCGTGAGGCACTTTCTACCTAACATGTAATACTGCTATAATCACCGCTAATGCGCTCTCACTCACTCACCCGTGCCGGGGGCTAAAGTCCACACAGGTTTGTAAGATGGAGACCGTTATTTCCATACAGTCCATGTGATTCTTTCAGGGTTTCTCCAATAATGGCTGGTACACCCAGACCGTGTTGTTCCGAGACCTTCAACCTATGCTACAGAACAGGGGCAACGTGTACTACTCCTGGCACGCCCTCGCCCACGCCTACAGCTGCACGGGTACGTCCTTACTTGACCCCGGGGAGTGCGGGTTAGGATAAGCCTAGGTGGGTACTGCACGGGTACGTCCTTACTTGACCCTGGGGATTGCGGGTTAGGATAGGCCTAGGTGGGTACTGCACGGGTACGTCCTTACTTGACCCCGGGGATTGCGGGTTAGGATAGGCCTAGGTGGGTACTGCACTGGTACGTCCTTACTTGACCCCGGGGAGTGCGGGTTAGGATAGGCCTAGGTGGGTACTGCACGGGTACGTCCTTACCTGACCCCGGGGAGTGCATCATGTGATAAGCCCCAGTTATATGGTGGCCATTTGTAAAGAAACCTCAAATATCTATTAAAAAAGAGTTTGTAGTGGGGTGTTTAATTTGTTGTGTATCTGTAAAACATATCTTTCTTGTACCAGAAAATATATACCATAACTATCCAGTCCAGTGTACGAATACACTCTTAAATAATTAATCATTTTACTGTTTAAGCTACATATGTAACTATATGAATATATATGCATATGTAAAATATTTTGGTGATAGTGACATGTACTGTAGACATAATGGCCCCTCTCATCAGTACCCGGTGTTGACGCAACTGAGTGGGTACTTGGTACCAGCAATTGTCTACGCCACCTTGCTTCATACTGAACAAGTCTACGAATTCTGTCCTGTGAAGTTCCCCCTATTCTTTCTGCACAGTTTTGGACTGTTGTCCAAGTCTCTGTGGCGTATGTTGACGTTGACGCGCGTTGCCATGTTTAAATTCCCCCTGTTGTATGACGATGAAACGTTTGGTCGATGTACCGATTTGCTGTCAGACTCCCACCACCAAGTCAGATATCCGAGTGGAGAATATGGTGTTCAAACCAAGCATTTACAAACCACATGTACTGTATTCTGTATGTGATTTATAACCAGAGGAGAACTGTCCAAGTGGGGCAGCTGTGACTTGCGTCAACGACGGCTTCGTCTCCTACATCGACAACAGCATCTGTGCATGCATCTGCCCGCCTGGCCTGGATCCTGGCAAAGGCTGCTCTGACGTCATAAAACAGGGTGAGTAGAAAATCAAAAGATGTCCTGACATCACAGAGCAGGTACATATGTCATCAAGTGTTTGCCCAACCGGTGCGTGCGGCTGGGTTAAAAGAAGCCTTAAGATAAGCCGAGGTTCGCTCTGACGCAGTCTAAGTAACCTTAGGCTCATAATTATTCGTTACACTGCTATACTGAGTCTAACAAAACCTAGTAGAAGGGCGTGTCAGCTAACCTTTTGGACTGACCAATCAGCACACAGCTTACCAAATCGCAAAAGTTAACATTCTCAAATACTGTTTGAACCTTTACCTAAAAACTCTAACGATTCCGAATGCTATTTTCCGCAGGATCGCTTCCGAGTGATACACACAGTCGTTGAAAATAGAGTTTTTGTCAATATTCAAGGATGTCATCTTGCGAAAATATAAGCAAATAGTAACCCTGTCATTAGAAACCCATAAGTGAATATACTGCAGGTCAAATATCTGTGTTTTATGTGGATTTTCGTTCGTTGATAGATCAGTGTCAGCGACCAGGGAAGGGAAAATCCAAAAACCTTTTTGTAAGTCCCGCCGAATCCTAGCAAGTAGTCGTTGTCTGATTGATTAAATCCGTTGGGCTGGTTCGCGTTTGATTGAACGGTCATAGATCGCTGAAAGGTTAGCTGACGCGACCTTCTACTGGGATTTGTTAGACTCGGTATAGCAGTGTAACGAATAAGACTGAGCTAAGTTTACTTAGACTGCGCCCTGACTTCTCTGACCTGTAGGGGAACCATGGTACTTGAACTTAGCTAAAAGCACCTTTTACAGAAGTCACTCACACATATGCTGACATGACAAATCCCCTATTAATTCCACAAGATAGTCGCAGGTTGTCACCATACTGCATGTCTTCTCTGCAGTGACCGCCCCCACCAAATGGCCCGGGGGGACATACGCCCTGCCGTCCTCTACTGACGGGTGCCCCGGGGACGTGTTCCTCGAGGGGTCTGTACAACACACCAGCGACGGGGGCAGCACACAGAGCGACATCGTGCACGTGAAGGGGGAGTTCACAGCCAGCAGCTCCATGTACCACTTCTGTGTGAAAGACAGTTCCACCAGCAATGACGCTGACACAGCTGAATGGGGACCCGGAAGATACTGTATATTGAAGAAAGGAGACTGTCCTACTGGTAAGTTTATAGCCAGGCAGATACTGTATACTGAAGAAAGGAGAATGTCCTACTGGTAAGTGTATAGCCAGAGAGATACTGTATGCTGAAGAAAGGAGACTGCCCTACTAGTAAGTTTATAGCCAGACAGATACTGTATACTGAAGAAAGGAGACTGCCCTACTAGTAAGTTTATAGCCAGACAGATACTGTATACTGAAGAAAGGAGACTGTCCTACAGGTTAGTGTATAGCCAGACAGATACTGTATACTGAAGAAAGGAGACTGTCCTACAGGTAAGTTTATAGCCAGGCAGATACTGTATACTGAAGAAAGGAGACTGTCCTACTGGTAAGTTTAAAGCCAGGCAGATACTGTATACTGAAGAAAGGAGACTGTCCTACTGGTAAGTTTATAGCCAGGCAGATACTGTATACTGAAGAAAGGAGACTGTCCTACAGGTAAGTTTATAGCCAGACAGATACTGTATACTGAAGAAAGAAGACTGCCCTACTAGTAAGTTTATAGCCAGACAGATACTGTATACTGAAGAAAGGAGACTGTCCTACAGGTAAGTTTATAGCCAGACAGATACTGTATACTGAAGAAAGAAGACTGCCCTACTAGTAAGTTTATAGCCAGACAGATACTGTATACTGAAGAAAGGAGACTGTCCTACAGGTAAGTTTATAGCCAGGCAGATACTGTATACTGAAGAAAGGAGACTGTCCTACAGGTAAGTTTATAGCCAGACAGATACTATATACTGAAGAAAGGAGACTGTCCTACAGGTAAGTTTATAGCCAGACAGATACTGTATACTGAAGAAAGAAGACTGCCCTACTAGTAAGTTTATAGCCAGACAGATACTGTATACTGAAGAAAGGAGACTGTCCTACAGGTAAGTTTATAGCCAGGCAGATACTGTATACTGAAGAAAGGAGACTGTCCTACAGGTAAGTTTATAGCCAGGCAGATACTGTATACTGAAGAAAGGAGACTGTCCTACTGGTAAGTTTAAAGCCAGGCAGATACTGTATACTGAAGAAAGGAGACTGTCCTACTGGTAAGTTTATAGCCAGGCAAATACTGTATACTGAAGAAAGGAGACTGACCTACTGGTAAGTTTATAGCCAGGCAAATACTGTATACTGAAGAAAGGAGACTGTCCTACAGGTACGTTTATAGCCAGGCAGATACTGTATACTGAAGAAAGGAGACTGACCTACTGGTAAGTTTATAGCCAGGCAAATACTGTATACTGAAGAAAGGAGACTGTCCTACTGGTTAGTTTATAGCCAGGCAGATACTGTATACTGAAGAAAGGAGACTGTCCTACAGGTAAGTTTATAGCCAGGCAGATACTGTATACTGAAGAAAGGAGACTGCCCTATTGGTAAGTTTATAGCCAGGCAAATACTGTATACTGAAGAAAGGAGACTGTCCTACAGGTAAGTTTATAGCCAGAGAGATACTGTATACTGAAGAAAGGAGACTGTCCTACTGGTAAGTTTATAGCCAGACAGATACTGTATACTGAAGAAAGGAGACTGTCCTACTGGTAAGTTTATAGCCAGACAGATACTGTATACTGAAGAAAGGAGACTGCCCTACTGGTAAGTGGGACGTGATAATCTCTTATCTAATAGTATCCATGGTTCTATGTTCTTTATCATTAGAGAGATATATTCAAATACAAAGGCTAGTGTAAAGTTATATAATTTAAACATTTCGGAATGTTTTGATTCTTTGAGTAGAGTTAGACAAGGTTGTATGTTATTTTTATTTTCATTGTTTGTTGTATACGGAAACAACTACTTGTGGTGAGAAGGGTGTATTTATTGAGTTTATGGAATTGTATTTGTTGCTGAATGCAGATGATTTATGTCTGTTTGCAGATTCTGTCATTAGTCTTCAGAGGAAGATAAATGAATTATTAGAGTTTTGTAGAAAATGGGGTTTGTCTGTAAATGTTGAGAAAACAGAGGTGTTAATTTGTAGAAATGGTGGTAATGAAGGCGGTATCAATCATGGTACTTTGGTGATTATAAGTTAAATGTTTTTACATATTATAATTATTTGGGTTGATTGTTTTCAAATAGACTTTCATAGTCGAAATCGGTTCAAAATCTGGTGAATACAGCGAATAACGCCTTGTTCTCAGTTAGGGTGTTTGGTAGGAGACTTAAGACTATATGTCCAACTATTTTGTTCAAAGTCTTTGACGTTCAGATAATGCCGATAATTTGGAACGCTTCGAAAATATGGCATGTTATCGAATAGTTTCAGATTAGGTTTTGTAAGTATGTGTTGGGTGTAAGTCATACATGCTCTAACGCTGCTGTTTTGGCGGAATGTGGTAGAAATTATATTCATGATGACGATTTATCACGTGTTACGAAGTATTGGTTCAAACTTTTACAATTAGCAAAGGATAGAAATCCTAAGCAGTGTTATATTATGTTACACAATTTAGACAAAGTTGGTAGAAAATCGTGGGTATATTTTGTTCAATTGTGCAAATACTTTCGCCAATTATGGTTTTGTTTTTTTTGTTTTGTATGGGAAGTCCAGGGAGTTGGCAACAAGGAACAGTTTTTTAAAAGATTTTCATGTAAGAGTTAGTGATTGTCAAAAGCAATTCATATTTTCATAAATGCACAAATGTCCATCACGTGATGTTTATTCACGTATCAAAAGTGTATTTTGCATTTAATTCTAAAGATGCAAGGCGTCGAATAACATTGTTACTAATCGATGCACTTCCAATGTATATAAATACCGGTAGATTTGATGGACGTTCCGAGGCACCAAT